GCGCACAGCATGGCCGCCCCCTTCCAGAACCCACTGGCAGACTCCAGCTCTGCCAACACCGTCTGCCAGCAGGCAGAGGAAATACTCGTGCCCCCCGGCCGGCGGCTGGAGGTGCAGGGAGCCGTCGGGGTTCAAGGCCAGCTCCCCAATGCCTGTCAGCCCGGCTCCTATCCGCAGCATCTCCTCTGTCTCCAGGATGCCCTTGGGCTTCTCCCCACTCAGGTACTGGCCCAGCAGGTCGCGGAAGCCATGGGCCGGCTGCTGGAACCGCTCGTACACTGTCTCCAGGGGCCGGGGGGGGTGGGGAAGCGCGCCGCTCACCTGCGTCACCGCCTCGGTGTCTGGTGAGGCCAGCAAGAAGGGGACGGTGTAGACCTGCTCCGAGAGCACCCGCTCGCTCTCACTCCTGCAAGCAGAGAGTGCAGCACTGAGATTTGGACAACTCTTAGCTCCTGGGGCTGAGCCAAGGGGAGGGACTAGAGCTTTCTTCCTCTTAAATGGCCCCAGAGGACAGGGGTCTGGACCCAACAGCGCAAGCCCCCCTCCTGCTGTCCCCTCCCATTGCTCACCAGCTCCGGGCCAAGCTGTTCCAGATCAGCCGATGCTCCTTCAGAAGCAGTTTCTGGATCACGCCCTGCAGCCCCTCATGGTAATGGCTGGTCAGCGCAGCCTTGGCTGGCAGCACTATGCCTAGGGACCAAGGGATATGTCACTGCCAAAGGAGGAGAGCCTGGGCCCTGTCCCTGGTATGGGGCCACAGGGTCTCCTTACCTTCCAGGGCAACGTAGTGCAGGCACCTTCCATCAGCTGCAGACACCAGTGCTGGTAAATTGTCATCAACCTGGAGCTTTGGGGCCTCCTGGAAGAGTGGGGACTGACTGTGAACATGGACAGGGGAAGACGGGCTGGCAGGCAGAGGGGGGGTCATGCATGGTTTTGTGGAGATCTTTGCCAGGATGTGACCTGTTTGGTCCTGGGCACCGTGACATCGGTAGAGGATGCCACAGGCTGCAGTCATCAGCAAGGTGCACTCAAATCAAAGGCTCTGGGCTGGGCAGTGTAGGGCAGCAGGGAGGGGACAGTGGGCAGGAGAGAGCATCTGAGGGACAGGGCTACCTGTATGCGTGCCACGACTCTGGCTTTCTTCCTGTACAGGTAGTAGAAGAGGCCGGAGAAGGCGAGGCTGGAGCCCAGACACAGCAGCTCCCCAGGCGTGATGGGCGGCGTGTCCATGGTGCCAGGCTCAGGTGGCACACCTGCAAGGTGAGCGTGTTGGCTGGCAGTGGGGCCAC